AAGTAGGATCTTAGTCTCCTAGTAGTTATCACTAAGGCTAAAACGAGTTTTTTCATTTTAGGATACCTTTCTTCTGTCCCCCTCAGAGCTCAGCTGTAGTAGTAAACTGGTTGCTAAGCTATGTCCTTCTCCCTTACTAGCGCTACGCTGGTTGAGAAATTTGAGACAATCAGGTAAAGGGTAAGTACTTCTCCTTCTAACGGATTTACCAAGACAGGTGGGGTGCTCAAGTATTCTTTCAATGCTTTGAAGGCTTCTTCACATCGAGCATCCCATTGAAAGGCTTTCTTTAAGACTTGAAGAAGGGCTAACACTTGTCGCTTGATCTGGAAACGAAGCGACTCAAGACAACTATTCTCCCGGTTAAACGCTGTATTTTCCTCATGTTAGAGAGAGGTTGCATATCCAACACTGTTTTTACCTTCTCTGGGTTAGCCTCTATTCCTCTGCTATTAACTATGAAGCCCAAAAAATTTCCTGCTGACAACCCAAAGGCACACTTAGCTGGGTTGAGCTTCATCTTGTATCCTCTCAGGACCTGAAATGACTCTGCTAGGTGCCCAATGTAGAGTTATGCCTTCAGTGACTTGACGAGCATGTCGTCAATATAGACCTCCATGGAGGTCCCAATCTGTTTTTGAAACATCTTATTCACTAGGCGCTGGTAAGTGGCTCTTGTATTTTTTAACCCGAAAGACATCACTTGATAGTAGTACGTCCCTTGCTCAGTTATGAATGAGGTCTTCTCTTGGTCACTGGAATCCATCCCGATCTGATTGTACCCCGAGAAGACATCCATGAAGCTGAGGAGCTCATGTCCTGCAATGACATCTACAATCAAATCTATCCGGGATAAAGGAAAACTATCTTTTGGGCAAGCACGGTTGAGGCCTGTAAAGTCAATGCAAAGACGTCATTTGTCGTTTGTCTTCTTGACTAAGACTACATTGGCTAGCCAGACTGGGTAATCCACTTCTCGAATGGCTTTCGGGTGAAAGAGCTTGCTCGCCTCTTCGTTGATGGCTTTCTGACGCTCCGGGGCGAAGGTCCTCCTCTTCTGCTTAATGGGCTTACAGGTTGGATTCACGTTGAGCTTGTGATTGATGGCAGAGGGATCAATCCCTTTCATGTCCTCTTGTTTCCACGCAAAAACTTCCTTGTTCCTTTTCTGGAATTGGATGAGGAGATCCTTGATCTCCTTGCTCAGCTTGGATCCAACGTAAACAAGATGCTCCAGCTCCTCATCAATTTGAACAGGTTCTAGTTCTTCTGACGGTGTTGGCTTGGTCTCGAGTTCATCCCTCATGTCAAGCTCATCCAATTGGATGTTCTCAACCTCCTTATTTCTCATGGATGCCATGTAGCATTCCCGTGCTATGCGCTGGTTTCCTCGGACCACTCCAACTTCGTTTTCTGTTGGAAACTTCACTACAAGGTGATAGGCAGAGGGAATAACCCTTATAGAATTGAGCGAGGGTCTTCCAAGGAGCATATTGTATGCTGAAGGTGCATCAACCACTAGGAATTTCATATTTGTTGTAGTCTGACAGGGTGGGTCACCTAAGGTCAAAATGAGTTTGATTGACCCAAGGGGTAGCACCCTTTCTCCTGAGAACCCCAATAGGTGGGCACTTCCTGGTTTAAGTTTTTCCCTTCCTATATCCATTTTGTCGAAAATAGAAGCAAAAATGATGTCTGTCGAGCTGTCATTGTCAATTAAAACACGATGGATAGTCCTATTGGCCACCACAACTCTTACCACAAAAGGGTTATCATGGGGATGTTGGCAGCCCTCTAGATCTAAATCTGAGAAAGTGATAGCCGTGTCTAAGCATGGAGACTTAGACGCAGTATATATTGGGAGCTTCTCTGGCTCTGATTTTTTGCAAGTGGGTCTTTCTGGCAGAGCTGGACCCTCCTCCTCTGTCAAATCCTCTTGATATCACTTTGATCTCCCCCATAGGTTGCTGGTGTGGCTCTAGTGCTTGACGTTGAGGGGGTGAGGGTGAGAGAGCTCGATTTTGATTATCATTGGTCGTATAGCATCGTAAGTGCCCTCGCTGGATTAGAAATTCTATTTCCCTCTTCAATTGGATACAGTCGTTGATGTGATGACCATGGTCTCTGTGAAAGTCACAATACTTCGTAGGATCCCTTTTTGCCGGGTCTGCTTTCATCCAGGGGTGGCCACCTTAAGAACTTCTCATTTTGCACCTCATACAGTATCTGAGACACTGTAGCAATCAGGGGGGTGAACTGTCAGGGTGCATACCTTGGTTGTAGCTCTGGTTGTGGAGGGCCGAGGTGATCCCTGACATTTCCTCTTTTCTTCGAGGAACGCTCTTTGTCTCTTCTTAGAGACCTGCCTCGTTCTCTTTCCTTTCTAGGAATTTGTTCTCTCTTATTTTCTTCCTTCCCTTTCTCCTTTCCCGATGAAGAGCTCCCGACCTTAGAGAGGAGTGCTTCCTCACCATGTATGTATTTTTCTACTTTGGCGAGCACCTCCGCCATACTAGCCTGGGGGTTCTTTGAGATGGAAAACATCAGGTCTTTTGACTGAACCCCCAGACCTGCTATGAAGGCTGTAATAACAAATTTTTTGTCTGAGACATCCACCTTCAAGGATTCTGAGTTGAACCGTTGAACATAAGACCGTAGGTTCTCATCAGGTTCTTGTTTCACATTTAACAAATGGTAGCTCGGTTTCCTATAAGTCCGAGCTCCAATGAAGTGGGACACAAACAAGATTGACAGCTCTTTAAAAGAGGAAATCGAGGCTGAGGGGAGTCTATTGAACCATGCTAAGGCTGAGTCCTTTAGGGTGATAGCAAAGGCCTTACATCTCACTGGATCTTGATATCCATGCAACTCTATTTATTTTTTGTAGGTGTTGAGGTGGTCCACGAGATCTTTTGTCCCATCGAAAGTATCCAGTTGCGGCATTCTGAATTTATGTGGGAGAGGGAAATACAACACCCCAACAGTGAATGGGGATTCGGTTTGCTGCATCAAGACATCCATAGTGACTAGGGCCTTGCTCTTCACTGCCTCCTTCATCTAACTGAGCTTTTGCTGGATGTTTTTGAAACGTTGCTCCCAGTGGTGTTCTCTTCTCTCCTATTGATAAGGGAAGAAGTCGCTCATCTCCCCTTCCTTATACTGACTTTGTACTTCCTTGTTGTGACCATTCCTAGGGGGTAGGCGAAGTTCTAGTCCCAAGGTCTGGCTATTCTCTCCCACCTCATTAACTTCTTTGAGGGGGTCGAGATGCGATTACTCTCTTAGTGGTGGGTTATTCTGGCCTCCTTGAGCCGGTCGTGCCTCCGGTGGGCGTTGTAGGAGCTTTAAGAGCTCTTCGTTCTATTTTATCAGACGTTCATTGACAAGACGAAGGGTCTCCATCTCATTATTCATGGGAAGGCCCCCCATGGGGGGATCTACTTGAGCGTTTTCGGATCGTCTATTATTTGCGGCTTCTTGTTGATCTTGCATCCATAGAGGATGGGTCTGGCTTTGGCTCATGTTTCGCGTTGATACTATCAGTCACTGAAAAATCAGCTTTATTCGTAACAGGAACAGTCATTCCCACAAACGGCGCTAAACTGATGGTGTATTTCAACGTGAAACAATTTTGTAATGACGAGTAAATGAAAGAAAAAATATTAAAATTATTGGGATCTGAGCTACTAGACTCGAGTGAATGATACTGAGAATTGTTAGGGAGTTGGGGAATTAACACAGTAGAAATATAGTGGTTCACCGATTAGGGAGCTCGGCTAATCCACTCTTCAATGGAGACTCTGGCTTCTTTTTCTTTATTGATCATACCAAAGGTTTACATAATAGGTTTTTGGTCATTCGGTCCCCCCTTTTGATGGGGGCGTTACCGGATATTTATAAGGTCATTTCCAACTAAACGAGATCCTGGCCAAGATTCTTACCCTTACTTCGTGGGATTCTCCCTAATTTTAGGAGAAGATCTTGGTTGGTTGAGATTAAGTGCCTTGATTATTGCTTCCTAACGCTTTTAGGAACCTCTTGTGATCTTCCAATTGTTGCCTTGGTTGTTATTGTCCTTGCTTATCTCGAAGGGACCTCTAGCTCTACTCTTCCGAGTTCTGTTCGTCTAGTCTGACCTTGGGCTGAGCTGACCTCCTGAGCTAGCGTTTGAGATTTATTTTGAGGTATCATCAAAAATGCATTCAGGTTTCAACCCCAAAATTAAAGCAAGAACTATACTGGTATACTATCATAATAATGTTAAGAATTATACTGTCAACTATTATAGTAAAAGAAAGAACTAATAAGTAATAATGTTAAGATCACATTAGTTATACATAATAAATAAACTATATTGTCATAAATATTTTAAACTGGTCTATAATGGGTTAGATCGAGTTTTTGTTTGAATCATATCAACCCGTTTAAAAGATACGTGTTAATCAGATCAAAATCAGGTCAATTTTACTCCGACATAATTTTTTTCTTGACATGATTTTTTTTGGGTTTAAATGTGTTGATCTGTTTTAACCCATTAACTCATTTAATTTTGTAGTTCATCTATTAATTTCGTATTAAATTTATATTGTATTTATGTGTAGTGTCAAAAAATTGAGGGCCCCATACTGATATAAAGATTGCTAGATGCATGACTGAACTTTCAAGATAAAGTAACAAAACCTTTGCACGGGGTAGTCAAAATAAGAGCAATGCTATTGAGATATAAAAATTTGATCTAATTTATTAATTTAATACACTGTGACATTTGGATTGACCGAGGTCTTATCAAACATTATAATTTAGTGTTGATCCAATTATTCTTATTAAGCCGCATCATTATGTCAACAAATTAAATCAAATTTTTAGGTTCAAATAGCATTACTGTCAAAATAATAATAGTGATTATTATCGGACCTTGCCACTCACTCCTATCCTACATATGAGGGCTTGCACTCCTCCGTTTCCCCACAGCATCCCTCTCTCTCTCTCTCTCTGGGTAGGGGCACTGGATCTAAAAAGAGACTTCTCTTTGTGTCTTTAGATTCCTTGTATTTTTCAAGATCAAAAATTTCATTTTGAATCTGTACATAGATCCCCATGATTGAATAGATGCTTTGCTTCTCATTGCGCAGAGAAATGGCTTGTTGGATGTGGACACTGTTACTGTGCGTCCTGCTTGTGGTCTCTGGAGCAATGGCAGCTGCACCGAGGAAGCCTGTAGATGTGCCATTTGGTAGAAACTATGCGCCAACATGGGCTTTTGATCACATCAAGTACTACAATGGAGGCTCCGAGATCCAGCTCTACCTTGATAAGTACACTGGTATGGTGTTATATACAAATACAATACAATAAACACTGCTACTTTTATTTACCCAAAAAAAAAAAAAACACTGCTACTTTTTCTTCTACAATATATTTGCTGTGTGTGTGTGTGGTAATAGATACAAGATGTTACTCCCATGTGTTAGATTTCTGAACTTTGATCCCTTGTGTTGTGTTGTGGGTTTGATTTTTGGGGGAAACAGGTACTGGCTTCCAATCCAAGGGATCTTACTTATTCGGGCACTTCTGTATGCAAATAAAGATGGTTGCTGGAGATTCGGCTGGCACAGTAACTGCTTTCTATGTAAGTGATCAATGACTCCCATCCCATACACATTTTGTAGAGCTAATTTACCTATGTTCTGAGGTTTACAACAACCAACTACTTCATTTATAAACAGGTGTATTATTCTAGGCTTTCCAAGAACTAGTACTGTATAAATGAAAAACATCTCCCCATCTTTTTCTTTAGATTAAGAAATTTTTGAATTATTAGTGACATCGGTTTTTCCCTTGGTTGGTGAGCAGAGCATAATGCTTGCCGAATAATTTCATGATTTTTTTTCTTTTTTCCTTACAATTTTTCAGCTATCTTCCCAAAACTCAGAGCATGACGAAATAGACTTCGAGTTCTTGGGAAACAGGACTGGGCAGCCCTACATTGTGCAGACAAATGTGTTCACTGGAGGGAAGGGAGACAGGGAGCAGAGGCATTATCTGTGGTTTGACCCAACCTCAGCCTATCACTCTTACTGTATCTTGTGGAATCTCTACCAGATTGTGTAAGTTTCTGTTTTTCCTTCTTTCTTCCTTAGTCTTAGAGAACCAACCAATTGAACACAACCTTTTTTACATTTGGAGCAGTTAATTGACATAATGAAATAAGCTTTTGCTTGAGCAGCTAAAGTTTACTTCTCTCTTTTCTTTATCAGTCACAGAAATGTGTGCGTCACTTCATGCCCAATTGCTCATAAGAGTTTCAGAGATATACATTCCAGTGGGTGTCTTCTAGAGGACCATGCCAACTTCAATATCATTAGTAAAGCCTTTCTATTTCAAATTTTTACGCTTAATAGTATTTAGTCGATCCATTCGCCTTCCAACTTGTTGGGTCTGTGGTGATATTTGGGTTTTTCTGGACTGAACCCTTAAGCACCCAGCTATCCCCTTCGTCAGGTGGTACTATCAACATGTAAACCATATATATGTAGTTTCCCCATGTATCTTATCCCAGTTTCTTATTTATATGGTCTAGTTGTTAAGCAGTGTTTTTTTTCCACCTCTGTTAATAATTATCAGAACCATAGTAAGAGTGTCATATTTTTTCATTTACCAAACAAATCCCAAATCTATCCCACATATTCAATCTTCCTAAATGTTCCTGAACGTTACTAAGAATTCTTAAATTTATTCCTAGAATTCTTTGAATTAATCCCCGCTGAGAAGACCATGTTTTTCTTGGAAGTCATTGCTTTTGTTGCCCAATTTTCTTCAAACTAAGAAAGATACCACCGTGATTGATACTTCAGATTTGGGATCTTTTTCTTTTTACTTTCTTGCTTGCCTCTGAATTCATATCTATGGACATCGATCCGTTTTAATCTTTTCCCCGCAAATGGAGGAACTATCTACTCCAAACAAAACTCTCAAAACTTTTGTAGAAACAGAGAGAATTGGGTCTGGGTCCGGTCTACACTCCAAAGTCCAAATGATTGATTCCCTCCCGACATAATAATAATAGCTTCAATTATGGCAGTCGCACATGATACATACAAATAAAATGGCCTCCTCCTGAATCAGTCTTGTTGGTGGGACTAAGTTTATGTGTATATTTGTGGCAGGTTCTTTGTGGACGACGTGCCAATCAGGTTGTTCAAGAACAGCAAAGATTTGGGAGTGAGGTACCCATTTGACCAACCCATGAAGGTATACTCGAGCCTGTGGAACGCGGATGACTGGGCCACCAGGGGTGGACTTGAGAAGACCGACTGGTCCAAGGCACCCTTCGTTGCCTCCTACAAGGGCTTCCATATCGACGGCTGTGAGGCCTCGGTGGAGGCTAAGTTCTGTGTCTCCCAGGGCAAGCGTTGGTGGGACCAGAAGGATTTCCAGGATCTTGACGGATTCCAATACCGTCGTCTCCGCTGGGTCCATACCAAATACACCATCTATAATTACTGCACCGATCGGGTCAGATACTCCACCATCAGCCCAGAATGCAAGAGAAACAGAGACATATAATAATGTTACCAGTTACCACCAATCCATCACACTCGGTCCAGGTCCAGGGGAGGGGTTGTCTTTTATTTATTATTTCTTCCTTATTATGTTCCACGGTATTCATCAGTCGGTTCGTTGGGTTGGGTTGTTTCCGTCTGTTTTCTTCATATTTTGTTTTAAATTAAATTCAATATGTACTCTATCCATCGATATTATATATTTTCTCCGTTCTTAAATATCTGTCATTTTACACAATTTTTTTTGTTCTACAATATCTGTCGTTTAATGAAACCAAAATATAATTAATATATATTTTTTTAAAATTTACCTTTATCTATGTTTTTCAATAAGTGCTTAATAGATTAAGTGTAGGTTAAAAGTACATTTCATATTTCTTTCTTTCTCAATACATATTGAATAAAGAGTATTTTAGTCTTTTATAATTATTTTTTATTGATATTAGAGTTATTTAATAATTTATTTAATCTCTGTGCAAAAACTTTAAACGACAAATATTTAAAAAATGAGGGAGTACTATATAACATGTGGACTCACTCGTGAGGTTATTTATGCTCATTATAGTTGATGATACTTCAAAATAAATCTCAAATGTCAGTTCAGGAGGTCAGCTCAGTCTAAGAGGTCAAACTAGACGAACAGAACTCGAAAGAGTAGAGCTGGAGGTCCCTTCGAGATTAAACAAGGGCAGTAACAACCAAGGCAACAACTGGAAGATTACGAGAGGTTTCTAAAATCGTTAGGAAGCTATAATCAAGACACCGAATTTCAACCAACAAAGATCTTCTCCTAGAATTAGCGAGAATCCTACGAAGTAAGGACAAGAATCTCGGCTAAGATCTCACTGAATAGGGAACAACCTTGTATATACTATGTAACGCTCCTAAGGAAGGAAAGAGAATCCTAGAGGCAAAAACTAGTCATTGTACTCTTGCAATCATCATTATTGAAATACAAACAACAAAAGTCTCAATTAAAAAGTGGATTAGTCGAGCTCCTGAGCTGGTAAACCACTATATTTTTATTGTGTTAATTTTTCAACTCTCCGACAATTCTCAGTATCATTCACTCAAAGTCTAGTAGCTCAGATTCTAACAATTTCAATATTGTTCTTTTCATTTACTCGTCATCACAAATTTGTATCATGATGAAATACATAATCAATTTGGCGCCGTTTGTGGGAACGATTGTTCCTGTTACAAATAAAATTGATCTTCCAGTGACTGATGGTATCAACGCGAAACATGAACCGAAGTTAGACTAATCCTCTACGGATGCAAGATCAACAAGAAGTCGCAAATAACAAGCAACCCGAAAATGCTAAAGAAGCAGATCCCCCCATGGGGGGCCTTCCCATGAATAATGAGATGGAGGCCCTTCGTCTTGTCAATGAACGTTTGATAAAACAGAACAAACAGTTCTTAAAGCTTCTACAACGCCCACCAGAGGCACGACCGGCCTAAGGAGGCCAGAATAACCCACCACCAAGAGAGCAACCGCATCTCGACCCCCTCAGAGAAGTTAATGAGGTGGAAGAGAATAGCCAGACCTTGGGGCAAGAACCTCGCCTACCCCCTAGGAATGGTCACAATGAAGAAATGCAAAGTTAGTATAAAGAAGGGGAGATGATTGATTTCTTCCCTTATCAACAGGAGAGAAGAGAACACCACTGGGAGCGACGTTTCAAAAACATCCAACAAGAGCTCAGCCAGATGAAGGAGGCAGTGAAGAGTAAGGCCTCAGTCACTATGGATGCCTTGGTGCAGCAAATCGAATCCCCATTCACTGCTTGGGTGCTGCACTTCCCTCTCCCACCTAAATTCAGAATGCTGCAGGTGGATGCTTTCGATAAGACAAAAGATCTAGTGAGATGTAGAGCCTTTGCTATCACCCTGAAGGGCTCAGCCTTAGCATGGTTCAACAGGCTCCCCCCAACCTCGATTTTCTCTTTTAAAGAGTTGTTAATCTCGTTTGTGTCCCACTTCATTGCAGCTTGGACTTATAGAAAATCGAGCTATCATTTGTTAAATGTGAAACAGGGATCTGATAAGAACCTACAATTTTATGTCCAACGGTTTAACTCAAAATCCTTGAAGGTGGATGTCTCAGATGAAAAATTTGCTATTACAGCCTTCATAGCAGGTCTGGGGGTTCAGTCAAAGGACCTGATGTTTTCTATCTCAAAGAACCCCCAGACTAGTATGATGGAGGTGTTCGCCAAAGCAAAAAAGTACATATATGGTGAGGAAGCGCTCCTCTCCAAGGTCGGGAGCTCTTCGTCGAGAAAGGAGAAAGGGAAGAAAGAAAAGAAGAGAGAACGAAGTCCCAGAAAGAAAAGAGAATAAGACAGGTCTCCAAGAAGAGACAGAGAGCGTTCCCCGAAGAGAAGGAAAAATGTCAGGGATCGCCTCGGCCCTCCACAACCAGAGCTACAACCAAGGTATGCATCCTGGCAGCTCAGCCCCCTGACTGCTACAGTGTCTCAGATACTGTATGAGGTGCAAAATGAGAAGTTCTTAAGGTGGCCACCCCGGATGAAAGCAGACCCGGCAAAAAGGAATCCTACAAAGTATTGTGACTTCCACAGAGACCATGATCATCACACCGACCACTATATCCAATTGAAGAGGGAAATAAAATTTCTAATCCAGCGAGGGCACCTATGACGCTATACGGCCAATGATAATCAAAATCGAGCTCTCCCACCCTCACCCCCTCAACGTCAAGCACCAGAGCCATACCAGCAACCTATGGGGGAGATCAGAGTGATATCTGGAGAATTTGTCAAAGGAGGAGGGTCTAGCTCTGCCAGGAAGGCCCACTTGTGAAAAATCAGAGTCATAGAAGCTCCCAATATATACTGTGTCTAAGTCTCCACGCTTAGACACGACTATCACTCTCTCAGATTCAGATCTGGAGGGCTGCCAACATCCCCATGATGACCCTATGGTGGTAAGACCTGTGGTGGCCAACAGGACTATCCATCGTGTTTTGATTGACAATGGCAGCTCGACAGACATCATTTTTGCTTCTACTTTCGACAAAATGGATATAGGAAGGAAAAAATTTGAACCAGTAAGTGCCCACCTATTGGGATTCTCAGGAGAAAGAGTGCTGTCCTTGGGGTCAATCCAACTCATCTTGACCTTAGGTGACCTACCCTGTCAGACTACAACAATAGTGAAATTCCTTGTGGTTGATGCACCTTCAGCATACAATATGCTCATTGGAAGACCTTCACTCAATTCTATAATGGCTATTCTTTCTGCCTATCACCTTGTAGTGAAGTTTTCAATAAAAAAATGGAGTTGGAGTGGTTCGAGGAGACTAGGGCGTAGCATGGGAATGCTATATGGCATCCATGAGAAATAAGGAAGTTGAGAACATCCAATTGGATGAACTTGACATGAGGGATGAACTCGAGACCAGGCCAACACCATCAGAAGAGCTGTAACCTGTTCAAATCGATGAGGAGCCAGAGCATCTTTTTAACGTTGGATCCAAGCTGAGCAAGGAGATCAAGGATCTCCTCATCCAATTCCTGAAAAGAAACAAGGAAGTTTTTGCATGGTAGTAAGAGAACATGGAAGGGATTGATCCCTCTGTCATCACTCACAAGCTCAGCATGAATTCAGCCTGTAAACCCGTTAAGTAGAAGAGGAGGAACTTCGCCCCGGAGCGTCAGAAAGCCATCAACGAAGAGGTCGGCAAGCTCCTTCACGTGAAAGCCATTCAAGAAGTGGATTACCCAGTCTAGCTAGCCAATGTAGTCCTAGTCAAGAAAACAAACGACAAATAACGTCTTTGCATCGACTTTACAGACCTCAATCGTGTTTGTCCGAAAGATAATTTTCTTTTACCTAGGATAGATTTGATTGTAGATGCCACTGCGGGACATGAGCTCCTCAGCTTCATGGATGCCTTCTCTGGGTACAATCAGATCAAGATGGATCCCAGTGACCAAGAGAAGACCTCATTCATAACCGAGCAAGGGACGTACTGCTATCAAGTGATGCCTTTCGGGTTAAAAAATACAGGAGCCATTTACCAGCGTTTGGTGAATAAAGATGTTTCAAAAATAGATTGGGACCTCCAATGAGGTCTATATTGACGATATGTTGGTCAAGTCGCAGAAGGTAGAACTTCACATTGGGCACCTAGTAGAGTTGTTTTAGGTCTTGAGAGAATACAAGATGAAGCTCAACCCTGCTAAGTGTGCCTTTGGGGTGTCAGCAAGAAAATTTTTGGGATTCATAGTTAATAGCAGAGAGATAGAGGCTAACCCAGAGAAGGTAAAAGTAGTGTTGGATATGCAGTCTCCCTCCAACGCGAGGGAAATACTGCGTTTAACAGGGAGAATAGTTGCCCTGAGTCGCTTCGTTTTCAGATCAAGCGACAAGTGTCAGCCTTTCTTTTGAGTCTTAAAGAAAGCTTTCTAATGGGATGCTCGGTGTGAAGAAGCCTTCAAACCATTGAAAGAATACTTAAGCTCCCCACCTGTGTTGGTAAGTCCGTTAGAAGGAGAAGTACTTACCCTTTACCTAGTTGTCTCAGAGTTCTCAACCAATGCAGCGCTAGTAAGGGAGAAGGACAGAGCTCAGCAACCAGTTTATTACTGCGACTGAGCTTTGAGAGGGGCAGAAGAAAGGTATTCTAAAATAGAAAAACTCGTTTTAGCCTTAGTGACAACTGCCAAGAGACTAAGACCTTACTCCTAGGCTTATACTATCGAAGTCCCAATAGATCAACCTATGAAGCAGGTGCTGCACAAGTCAGAATCTTCAGGGAGACTGGTTAAATGGGCCGTTGAACTTAGTGAGTTTGATATCAGATACAAGCCAAGGACAGCCATTAAGGGGCAGATATTGACAGATTTTATCGCAGAATTCACAACTGGGATACCTGCAGAGACGGCGCAGTTAGTACCTGACCTCTCAACGTGAAAACTTTCAATAGATGGAGCTGCCAATGCTCAGGGCAGTGGAGCTGATTTGATTTTGACCTCCCCCGAGGAGATAGATGTTGAATACGCGCTGAGATTTGGATTCAAAGCTTCAAACAACGAAATCGAGAATGAGGCAGTCATAGCAGGCCTCAGCTTAGCTCATTCAATGGAAGCCGAGCAACTGGAGATCTACAGCGCCTCACAACTCGTGGTGAAACAGATAGAGGGTGCTTACGAGGCTAAGGGTGAGAAGATGGTCCTTTATCTTAGGAAGGTGCAAGAATTGATCAAGAAATTTGTGCAAGTAAAGATCAG